ACTCTCTGTCAGGTGGAGATTTACAAGGAAGCAAACGAGTGTCCTGAGGCGTTTACACGCTCAAAATTGATTTTTTTTTTGGATTGCATTTTAAATTGTTTATCAAGTAAAATGTTATTTCGTGACCGTTCAAGTAGAATATAACAGGAAGCGTTGCGGCATAAAATAATCAAAACAGTGATGTATTTAACACGCATAGGAACAGCAGCATGGTTGTCAAGTTAACCCACGTTTGATAGGAAATTAGTGCCCGCTAATCGTTTTGGGACGTGAGCAAGCCTTTGATTCCCACACGGGATTATGTTTCTGGGTGTGGATTTTCTCAGCTAATAAACGTAGCGATTTTTGTGACCTCAAGTTAGAATGGAATAGAATGGATAGATCGTAGAACGGAATGCGTAAGGTTGAACTGTCGTCAATAAAACCTTAATCGAATGAAAGTATACAGTCCAAGATTACTGAACAAGCGTGTGCGAGAATTCTCAGTGACGCAAGTGAGAAATTGCGAAAAGCGAGCCAGATATGGCGCAGCTGTGGGGAGGCGTTTTTCTCTCCCTCACTTTTTGCTCTTATTCCTAGCATGAGTCCCTCGTGCTCCTAATAGCTGCACTTTGACATAACACTTTAGATAATACGCTATACATATGGATGGGGGAGTGAAATGGCAATCCCACCGTCGGCTTACATTTTCTCTCCGGCTTAAAACCTCTAAAAGAGTACGTAAAGACAGCAGAGTGACAATAACTGTCAAAAAAGAAACAACAACTTTGAGTTTAAATTTACAAGACATGTTTCGACATTCCCATGTCATCTTCAGTTGCAAATGAGCATTTAACTGTTGTACATTTGAATTTATATTATGGTACGTTACAAACTACGTGTCAGGCTTACGTTACACTTGAATGTTAAAAACGCGAAAAACGTAAATAGGGCGCGCTTGACTAGATCAAAAAATAATTAAATAAATAAATAAAAATAAATTAAAAGACCAAGGAACAACATAATTAAAAGGAAAGAGACAATTCTAGATGTTTCAATTGCTGATTAAGGATAGGTTTTTCCCACTTAATATGCAATGCCTCTTTGATCTTAATTTGGTATTTTGAAGCGGCAGAATCTAAGATCGTGAAACATTCAGTATCACAAGAGTCAAGACAAGCCCTTGATGATTGCAGGTGCTTGTAAATATGCGAAGTTTTGTCCGACAAGAGGTGCTCACGAACTCGTGTACAAATGTGGCGAGTGGTCTCACCAATATAACTGACATTACAGCCAGCACATGAAAATTTATATATGACACGCGAACGTAGACCTAGCGGTACTGAATCTTTCACACTGAACATGTTTCTGAGTTTAAACGTACTGAAGACTAACTTAACATCTAAATCAGCTCTACAATAACGTTTGAGTAGTTGTCTTAACTTAGTCTGAGCGATGTTCGAAAACCGACCAACATAGGGAAGTTTATAATAGTGCGCAGAAGGTTTACCGGAGTTAGAAGAGGCGTTCTGCCCAGTAGGAGAAGGATTATTTTTCTTCGCTAGATACCTGTAAATGATCTTGTCTATGACCCAAGATGGAAAACAATTTTTCCGTAGCAAGAAAATAAGTTTCTTGACATCCAGATGAAAACCAACCCAGGAATTATTGATCTTATATGCTCTGTCAATCAACGTTCTGACTAAACCTAATTTGTAAATCAAAGGGGCGAAGCTGAAATAATTAGTAAGAAGNGAACGTTGATTGACAGAGCATATAAGATCAATAATTCCTGGGTTGGTTTTCATCTGGATGTCAAGAAACTTATTTTCTTGCTACGGAAAAATTGTTTTCCATCTTGGGTCATAGACAAGATCATTTACAGGTATCTAGCGAAGAAAAATAATCCTTCTCCTACTGGGCAGAACGCCTCTTCTAACTCCGGTAAACCTTCTGCGCACTATTATAAACTTCCCTATGTTGGTCGGTTTTCGAACATCGCTCAGACTAAGTTAAGACAACTACTCAAACGTTATTGTAGAGCTGATTTAGATATTAAGTTAGTCTTCAGTACGTTTAAACTCAGAAACATGTTCAGTGTGAAAGATTCAGTACCGCTAGGTCTACGTTCGCGTGTCATATATAAATTTTCATGTGCTGGCTGTAATGTCAGTTATATTGGTGAGACCACTCGCCACATTTGTACACGAGTTCGTGAGCACCTCTTGTCGGACAAAACTTCGCATATTTACAAGCACCTGCAATCATCAAGGGCTTGTCTTGACTCTTGTGATACTGAATGTTTCACGATCTTAGATTCTGCCGCTTCAAAATACCAAATTAAGATCAAAGAGGCATTGCATATTAAGTGGGAAAAACCTATCCTTAATCAGCAATTGAAACATCTAGAATTGTCTCTTTCCTTTTAATTATGTTGTTCCTTGGTCTTTTAATTTATTTTTATTTATTTATTTAATTATTTTTTGATCTAGTCAAGCGCGCGCTATTTACATTTTTCGCGTTTTTACCATTCAAATGTAACGTAAGCCCTGACACGTAGTTTGTAACATACCTTAATATAAATTCAAATGTACAACAGTTAAATGCTCATTTGCAACTGAAGATGACATGAGAATGTCGAAACATGTCTTGTAAATTTAAAATCAAAGTTGTTGTTTCTCTAAAAGAGTATATCAAAACGATGACATCTAATAGATAGTTTATATTTGTGACTATCACTTTGGACCGGTTATTCAAACAAAATTTAGCCGTTGGTTAACAAAACCGCGGTCTAAGCTATTTAAATCTCGCCGAATCTTCTATTTGAACATTTATTTTTGTGAACAGTATCAAGACGGACGAAAGTTAGCAAAAAGGAAATAAATTTATTCAATGAAAATCACCCTCTTTTAGAGAATACGTAAGGGTCACTGTTTGTGTAAAACCTCGTTTTGAGTTAGACCGCGCTTAAGTAACCGGTTCTTTAGGTTTTACCTTTTTCACAATCTTGGCCCGTGAATCCAAAAGTACATAGACATCGATATCGTTTTCTTGTAAATCCTGACTGGCAGGTGGCTTTGTTCTTGCATGGAGATCCAGCACAATAATTCTTCAACACAAACAAGAAATCTGTCACTGCTGTAAAAAAGTTAAACTCTGCCTTGAAGACTACTTCCTATAGCTTGAGAACTTCAATAAAATGCAGCTTCCTGAAGCAACAGGAAGAATTATTATTCCCCCTGAATAACATTCTAACCCATCGAAGGTAATTCATAGGTATCTCGTCAGATTTCTGTGACACTTAGCCGGGGCCATTAGTACCGTTTGGAAAAGAAGTTGTCTCAAGAAAAAGTGAGTTTCTAAAGAACGAAACAAGTTAATCCCAGTCCGTTCATAGCTCAATTGAATCATTGCAATCTCAATCGTGCGCTCTCTTTAGCCATCAGACTTAGTTTAAAGACAACGCTTCAAAATATATCTTAGTTACTTATATCTTAGTTACTTTTGCCATAATTTTATCTTACGATATTGTGAAGCGCGACTGAATATATTCATATAGAGGTCTGCGTTATATAAATGTAAATTATTATTATTATTATTATTATTATTATTACTATTGTTAAATTAAATGACCCGCTTTGCGTCCGTATTTTCATTCTCCAGAAAACCAATGAAAACAAAATAATTTCTCATAACCTCGCTATCTTTACTGAAAGGAAAAACAGCTATCAGTTATCAACTGTGTTTGGACGACGTTTCCAGACGGAACTAGAAAAAGGCGTTGCTTTTGTTAGTGGTGTTGGGCACCAAAAATTCTTTCGTGCGTCAAGGGACACTTTCATTTGTAATTTCAGTCTTGTCTACAGAATGTCCTTCATGGCACAACATGTATCTTTGTAGCTTGAAACGAAAATAACAGTTAGTGTATAAATAACTCTAGTCAAATATGAAATTATCAAAATACGCCCTCTGTTCTTACGAATCGATAAAAGCGTTGATACTTAACGACTCGTACCTTCGTTCCATGATATACGTAGTTCGCTGCTTTCACCAGATCATCGTCGTACTCTTTGGCCGTTGCGTTGTTCATTTCACAGTTGTCTGTTCCTGCTTCATTTTGTCCAAAATAAAAGTTAATGCTGACACAGTCATGATTCAGGTAACAACGATATTCACACGCATCCCTGTCAATCACACTGATGTTTGCCATGGTGTGGTTAACAAGACGTTCTCCGACAAAAAACAGAGAGGATGGAAATGCTAAGATACGGCATTGATCTAAAAATAAAAAAATTATCTTTAATTGAAATGCGAAATGGATCATCAATACTGTTCTGAGGGTCTCAGATGGTGTTAAGCTCTTTGTCAAGTGGAAAACATGGGACGCATATTGTATTATCATTGTATTATATAGAAAAATTCACTGCCTGACGAGTGAATTCCACGTTAAATTTCACGCGAAAAACCGATATCGTACGAATCGCGAAGCGATGAGTGCGATATCGATTTTTCAAGTGAAATTTAAGTGGAATTCACGAGTCAGGTAGTGAATTTTTCTTGAATCGCATAACTGACTAAAAAAAAGAAAACAAGAAATTAAAACGGCAATGTTATTGTCTGTTTTTATTCCGTACGCGCGCCCTCAAGAAAGCCATTTTAAAGTTAACTGTCAGAACTGTCATCGTTAAGGGAATGGAAAGCAAGGTAAGTCGCTCACGTTTGAACCGTCGACAGTTTTAATTGTACCTCGTGAATTTTTCTTGCATCACATGGCTAAAGCCACCAAATCACTGGGCGAAACCAGATGTTTTGTATTTTTGTGCGCCACGGCAGTGCGCAAACAATGGAAACCCTTTCAAAGTCAGGTGTCAATATCTAGCGAATAGAGGGAACAAGATATTTTTAGAATGAAAACCACTTTTATTTCAAACTCGTGGAGAAAGCGGTGCCTCACATTTTACAATCTTCAGCAAAAAAACTAAAAGTAGACAATACGGAGTTATTTAAGACAGAGATTTGCCTGCTACCACTCAACTTGGCA